AATTTTGACCATTTTGCTAGCATTTAAGTGACTTGTGAAAATATGTAAAGTGCCAAATCCTTGCGTAAAGCCACGTTTTGGTAAGTCATCGACATTTTTCACCTCTAAGTAGTGATTCACTCACTTATTTACAAATGCTTTTGACTTTCTCATATACTTAGCAGCCGCTTGGCGTGACATTTTTGGTCTTTTCGGATGTGTACAAAGAAATACGACTTCGAAACGCGATATATATTTGGCACTCATGGCGAAATATATATTTTTATCACGAAGCTCGAATAATAACTAAAGCTTTATCAACAAAGCATCTTAGGCGAAAGATGTCTCTACCGGCTCCTGTTTGAATTTTCTGTCTACCTGTTTATATGTAAAAGTTTTTCCGGACACGCTCTTATCAAACAAACTGTATAATATCTAAGCTGCGGATTCGCAACGTTTTCCATTGTCGGAACGCATTAAACAATATAAAGAAATAGCATTCTTTCGGTAAAATGTCTGTTTCTTTCTAACGAAGCCTGCTTTATTTCTGCCACAAGACCACGATAAGTGGTGGGAATAAAACAGCCTTCATTAGAAAAAGATAGACTTTTTACCGAAAGAATGCTACTTCTTTATATTGTTTGACGCATACAGACAATGGGAAAACCCGGTCTAGGTAATATACATCTATGGTCCCCTCCCAGCATAAGATTACGAGCCACGAGGTTATTAATTATTATGTAATATTTAATTTAAAAAATTTTTTTATTAATAAAAACATGAAAGAGAGGTATCATGTTTTACACTTGTATTGTCCTCTACTACATACTATTGCAACATACTATTGCAACTTTTATAATCTTTTTATAGTCCATACATGATTTGTTGTAGTTTAAACAATAAATGCAATAATTATTTATTTTTATTTTTTAATCATCAACAATTTATCTAATTGTAAATGAAACTATAAGATCTCAAACGATATAGAAAGAAAAGAGAAAAGTCCTCTAGGGCGATTTTTGTGAAAAACGCTTCAGAAACCATATTGATAACGTAGACAGCTTAATACAAGAGTATTCCAATATTTAACGACCCGGGGGCACGGGTTCTCGTTATTCGATCGAGCAAAAGTTTGGAAGAGATTTCTTTTTTATCAAATGGAAACTTTTTGGAGGGTGCCGCAGAAAAAATTTGAAAGTCAAAAAATAAGGACCACCCTAATGTTCATATTGAAAAAATGCTATTGTATAAATAAAATTAAAGCAAATGCTCATTACTGTGGCAACTTGTAATATCGATGTTTAAAGCTCCTTGCCCCTCGCATTGTCTATCTCTTTTTAATGGCTATTCTCCGTGCACTCTCCGTTTGCTCTAACAATTAATACTTTGTCGTAAATTAATATGACATACATCTTTTTGACCTATTTCTATTCAGGTTAATTTACAATAAATTATTGATTGTTAGAGCAAAAGGGGAGTGCACGGAATATCTTAAAAATTTGTTTAATCGATTGTGCAAGTGTTACTTTATGGATATATATTTTTATTTTAACGTATTTTGAAAGAATTTTTAGCATGCATTTTCTCGCTTCTGACGTCATTAAAAAGAGATTTTGTAAGTAACCACAATAATTTTTTAGATTAATGATAAAAAACTAACGAATGTATTACGTATCAGCCACTGTTGTCAAAAGGTCAATATGGATCTTGAATGACATTTCATTTCAAGAATTCGTCCCACAATTCATTTGCATAATTCGCATAATTTTTTCTTTTTAATACCGCGATATAGTTGTTTGCACAATGCTAAAGAATTTTTTCATTCAATTTGATGAATTGTACGTTCAATAACATAAGGTGATTTACTTTTTGTTAATAAAAATACGTACTAGGAAACGTTAGAACGAGATATAATACATAGGAAAACACAAAAACAAAATATCACGATAAATGTTATTAACAAAAAATATTTGTTTTGATGTCTCCTATATCTCTGCAAAATTTTTTAATGCTCCTGTATACTCGCCGCGTAAACTTCATTGATAACGTCAAAAGTGCAAAAACGCATGTATAAAATTCTTATGTGCCATTTACATATAGAAAGATATTTGTATGAAAGAATATTTTTGACCGCTTAATCTTATTTGTAAAATATTCCGAAAACTATATTTTTCCTTTCTAAAACTATACTTTTCCTGAGAAATCAATAAATAATTATGAAATTAACATGATAGACAACCTTTCTTTTTAACCTATCTTTCCTCACGATTTTGCCACGTTCATTTTACGGCTATTTATTGACTATAAAGAGAAAAAGTTTTTTTTTTCTTATTAAAAGATATATACTAATATATATGGTATTAAAACTCTTGGATACGAGAAAATGACGAAAAATGACATGCTAAAAATTCTTGCATGGAATTTTGAAACAAAAAAAAACATTTATAAAAGAATACTTCAGATCGCTTAGAATATAAATATGCTTCAGCAATCTGAAGTATTCTTTTATAAGTGTCTTTCTGTTTGGAAATTTCATGCAAGAATTTTTAGCATATTTTTCGTCATTTTCTCGTCATTTTTCTAACATCACAATTTAACATGGCAATGAGTATCAGGAATTGTAATACCATATATATTAGTATATTAAGGCTCCTGATCAATCAACGCGACCATATCGGATTGATGACATCAGAAGCGAGGAAAGCTATATCCAAAATTCCTGCGAACTATAGCTAAATAAAGATATATGATTAAAATAACACCTGCAATCTATTCTATATATTTGAAATGCTCCAGATACTTCTCTTTTGCCAAAATAATTATTATATAACTGCAAAATGTGACAAATCGTCTCGTTTTGACACAAAATTAGCTGTGTGACTCAGTACCAAATATTATCGAGTATCTACTTATACAATTATTATTAAATATCACAATAAGCGCAATAGCCAGAACATTTTCACACTTCCACAATTGTATCATACATTCTGTCAAAAAAGTATCGGGAATTGTCGATGTAAACTGCCCGCGCTAGTCGAAGGTATAAAAATTTTTTTTCTCAGGTTGGTACAACTGTCCTTAATTATGATGCCAAGTTAGAGAATCTGTCAACCAGTGTGTTTACAACAGCTTGTTAAGTCAGTCAATGTCAATAGTGCGTGCCGATTTTTACAATGAGTAAAAATATTGAACAAAGAATTTGTCTCAAATTTTGTGTTGCGAACGAAATTTCGTGTATGATGCATTGAAGATGTTGTAGAAGGCTTATGGTAATTCAGCACTATCAAAAACCCGTGCATATGAGTGGTACAAAGCCTTCAAGGAGGGTCGAGAAGTTGTCGAAGACTTGCCTCATTCTGGACGCCCGTCGACAAGTTTGACTGAAGATAACATAAAAAAAGTGAAGGAAATTGTACTCGAAAATTGTCATTCCAGCTTAAGAGAGGTAGTACACGAACTTAACATGTCCCATGAGTCCGTTCGTTCGATTTTGGTCGATAATTTGGGCATGAAACGCATCGCCGCAAGACTCGTTCCAAAAGATCTGAATGCGCCGTCTCACCGAGCTACAATTGTGACTGATTTTCTCGCTAAAAACTCAACAAATGTACTTAAACAACCACCGTATTTACCAGATTTAGCACCGTGTGACTTCTTCCTTTTCCCAAAACTGAAATTGCCGCTCCGGGGTACCCGTTTTGAGTCGATTGAAACCATCAAACAAAAATCGGCGCGTGAACTGAAGGCCATCCCGAAAAGCGCCTATAAGAAATGTTTCGAAGATTGGAAAAAACAATGGCATACGTGCGTTGCTTCAAATGGAGCCTACTTTACGACCCAATAAATTTTGATGAATAAATGAAATATGTGTATTTTATTTAACAATTTCCGGTACTTTCTTGACAGAATGTATGTGATATGCCCGCACTGCACTCAGTAATAACGCTGTGATTTACAGGAAAAATCTGGCCCTCTGTTTACATCACTAGGTCTGTTCATTTTTATTGAACTTTTATTTCAGTAAGTTAGAGAGTAAATTTCAGTAAGTTAATTTTTTAGTGCAGTAAGTGAGAGAGAGAAAAGTATATTTTCTTTCACACTATAACTCTCTTATTGCAATAGTCTATACTAGTGCACAAGTTTTTGGGAAACGAACAAACCTATTTTCTCGCCTAATACTTCATCATTTTACCGTTTACAATCATGTCGCTAACGCGGAGTTCTCGACTGACTGATCAGGAGCCTTAATATATTGCAAATATAAGGTAAAATTGCAGTTTAAGAGAATCAGCTCCAATTGCCTTGATCTTGACATGTTATAAAGGTCAACCTCCTCAATAACTTTGAGAAGATTTTAGCCGTCACTCGTTGTTCGTTAAAAAGTTATTAACAAAAGAAGTTGCATAAAATGAATGTAATTTTTGGACACCGTATATACAAAAACATCGAGTTTGTAGGCTAAACATGTATCTGTCCCTAGCTGTGTGACGGGGGAAGTTCTCACTCTTTAGGAAATATATTTTTCTTATAAAATTTCTAAGGTATACATTTCATATCTACAGTGAAGCCACTACACCATATTTGCGAAATTTTTTTTGTTTATAACTTTGAGCTTAAGCACAAAAGACTGCGCCCCCTCTCTCCTCAGCCCGGTACGGGGGTCTGGGGGGCGTAGTCCCCCAGTCACAAGGCTACGGGCAGGCACCTTTCTAGCCTGATATAACATAAATATAAATATAACATATGTTAAGACCAAGGCAATTGAAATTAACTCCCCTAAACTGCAATTTTATCAAATTATTTTGTTAATAACTTTTTAATAAACAACGAGCAACGGCTAAGATTTTTTGTTTGTTACTCAAGAGGATAACCTTTATAACCTATGTCAAGATCAAGGCGATTGAAACTAACTCCTAAAAAAACTGCAGTTTTACCAAATATAATATTCTTAAATATATTAATTTTTGAATGTTAATTACTAGATTATATATGACAAGCTTGTGTATATTATTATTTATTAGGCATTGATATTAAATACGGCCACTATGCCAGCGGTGGACAAGAAAGGTGTAACGAGGGGCTACATGGCAAATGATCTCGTCTGCGTCGTAGTGAGTGAAGTTAACGTTGAGGCGGAACGAGTTGTTGCAGTTATGAACACAGAGCCCCGTGAGGGGCAAGCACCACATCCACCTATGGGACTTATCCATTCTGATGATCTTCCGGAAGCTTATAAGTAAGTTAACAAAATATATTATGCATAGTCGCAGGTCCGCAGTATTACCCTTATATACTTCACTTTATAAATTGATTCCATAACTGGATATTCTATGTATACACGATAAATAATGAAAAAATTGTGTATTGTGATGTCAAATTTCTGTTTTTTTTGCGTATTATTCTAAGAGCACTTACACCAAGTAAAAACAATTTATTTTTCTTTACTTTATACTAAGATATAGGATCGACGCACACACACATGCGCGTTCTCTCTCATTTTCTCTTTCTCTTTCCCTCCCTTGCTCCTCTTTGTCTTCTCTCTCCTCTTTCTCTCTAATATAAATAATGTATATCTTTCTATATCTATTTAATAATATTTTTATACAAAATACTTTTACATGCAGGATGACTCAAATATGCTGTCACAAATTTCACAGACGTGTTCTACTTTTCTAATATAAAAAAGAATACGACCAAATTCCACTCCATTTTTTCCGGACATAAATTTTGACTCCATTGTGCACTTAAATTTTGACGCGTAGATTATGAATATTTAAATGCCAAGGCATTCCATGGAGTTACCGTTCCAGAAAAAATATAAAATTCTATCGTTACTAGATGATGCCATCAAATGACAATAGAATTTTAGATATTATCGTTATGTAATTAAAAGTTTAAATCAAACTGGGACCATTTTTTCTGTAACGGTAACTTCGTCCAGCTTGACATTTACATATTTATAATCGACACGTCAAAAACTCTAATTTAAATACAAAATGGAGTTCAAATTTATGTCTGGAGAAATTTGACGGAATTTGGCTGCAAAAATGAGAAAAGTAGAACATCTTTGTGAAATTTGTGACAATATTTTCAAGTCACCCTGCATTACACTGTTGCTTTAAGCAGTACCTGTTATAAGAGAAAGTAATGCTTTTAGTACTAAATATTCTAGGAACAAAAAAGAAACATTGCGTACTTACATTTATTCGATATTTTTTCTTTACTTAGATATATAGCATATAACAGTGAACTTTCCAAGTCTTTTCAATCCTGTTTCAATCCTGTTCAGAGTGGAGACAAAATTGTAGTATAACTGGGCAGGATATGATTTTTTATGGATATAATGAGTTAAAAATAAGTCGAACGCACAGAAATTTTTTTATTCGGAATTTTGTTTTCAAGAAAATTTAATTTAAAAGTTGAATACGAGCAGTTGAGTATGAGCATTTAACAAAGATATGGATTATGGATACTGTAAATGTTATCATGTTTACATGATATCTAAAGGTTTTCATGAGAAGCAAGTTTCAAGAACTACACATGTGTAGTTAACCTGTAACAGGTACCATGCCTTTTCAGTCAAACTATAGGTACTATGGGATCCGGCGGACCCCAATAAATTTTTGCCATTTTTAACATGATAATAAAAGATAGAAAGAAAAACGCTTTATAGTTCGAAAATAATACTTTACGAATATTATATTACAACTAGATATATATAATAACAATCTCAGTTTTTCAATAATCTAAAAGAAAACGTTAACTGATTATAAAATGAACACAATATGGACATTGTTGAAATGAAATACACTAAAAGACAAATAATCGGAAAAAAAAAATTTATGTTTTAATCTAAGTCTAAAAATTATAAATTATATAAAAAATATAAACAAGTATTGTTAAATTAAATGCAATATTAAAATCTTAGAGGGTTTTTAGATGCAATCGTTACAAATAGTGCTTGTACATTTGGTGCATACTAGTTCATTGTATCTAACATATACTTCTTTGGACTTCATATCTTTACTTCTAGGGCATTTATTACATCTTACTCTGGATGGCAAAATAATTTTAGATCTTTCAGTTTCTTCAATTTTTAAAATAGATGAAATTATTAAACGTAATGAATTAAACGGTTCTGAATATATTGAGTTATAAGACGTCTCTTAAGTTCAGGTTCTACTAACTGAAAGGCAAGAGCTTTTACTCTTTTGCGTGAAGAATGAATCATATTGAGCTGAAAATTAAGAAAATTATTTTTATAAAAGTAACGTTAACGGTACCATAGGGTCACTCCTGTGACCCCAGATAAAAAACAAATATAATTCACAGCTGTTTACAAATAACTCGATGATCTTTTTTTATGTCACACTGAAAACTTACTCGAAAGATACTGAAGATATTGGTGCCACATAGTGGATAATTTAAGAATTATCACGAAAATAAAATTAGTTGGGGTTCCTGAGACCTTATGGTATCTGTTACGGGTTAAAAGTCATTTATTTTATTAATTGAGAAATAATTGAATTATTTTATTAATTGAGAATAATTGAAAATGTTGCCCTTGGTGTCATAAATAAAACTGCCCTTCGAATAACGAATGCGTAGATACTAGTTAATGCCTCCTTATAAAAACTTCCCAATGCTTCAACAATTTGTTGTCTCGTGATCTGAATATTTTCAATTTTTTTTTTAACGAGTACAGACTACGAGTAGTGGTTTCAGAAATAATAAACCATTTTTTGGTCAACCATTATACTGCTTACAATTTTTAAACTAGATTTTTTGAAAATAAAATTTTGGACGAAAAACATTTATTCGGTACTTTTGATTTATTTTTAAAGAACTCCCTTTTGTCTGGTTGTCTTACGATTTTGTTTCTATCCTGTATATAATATGAATTATTTTGTGAAAATTTAACAATTGTTTCTTAATGAAAATATCTAGGAAAATCATTATTTGGAATTTTTAGTATGACATATCTATATAACTAAGCTTCAAATAAAAATTCCGTTAAAGTTAACTTGAAATTGATCGAAGAAAATAATTTTGTTATCAAAGTCTCTCGAAGTTATGTCTACGGAAAACTTTGCTTTGTATATTGCTTGTAACTTGGACACTGTTGATGACGCGCCATGTTTGCTAAAGAATTGTTAAATTTTCACTACGAATAGTGCTATATCTTTGACGATAGAAGTATGCCAATAGTTAACTTCAAATCAAGATGTGTTGCGCTGCCATTAACTAATAAAAAAATGTGAGAATTAAAATTGCATCATTTATTAAGTGTCAATTGAAGTTATGTTTGCTTTGGATGTTTTTGTGCTGAAATCATCATTCTAACTTTGATATATAATAAATAATAAAAACAGAACAACGCTTTCAGTAAAAGAGAAAAAAAGCATTTTGCCTTGTTATGGCTAAGTCAAATCAAATATCATACATTATCGTACAAACTATGATGCTCAATGACATATTTTAGTTGTTTATAGAAGACGGAATACATTAATATTTTATTAACCTTTAGACTGTCGGGAAAGCCACTTTTGTGGCAGTCTAAAGGTTAATTTACCCTCCATTGCGCGAAAATTAAATTTTATGTTCACGTATGTTTTTATTTACAATATATTATATTATGAAAATATATTTTAGTATGATTAGTGAATCGTAAGATATATTTATATATTTCGGTTTTTGGTCTATGCGGTTAAATCTTGAAAAAATATCGAAGATGTTGGATATATTTTTTACTTATAGACTTATAAAATAAATTGTTACTCTTAACAGGTAATGGTAAAATTGAAAAATAAAGATATGTGCGCGTTATACAAGTCAGATGTGTTTGCTTTCTTTGTCATAGTATTTTAGAAGACGGCGATGTAGGAGAAACAAAAAAGAATAAAACATAAAAAAAGACAGGACACATTGATGATGTGATTGCTTCTCCTTCTTCGTTTTTCTCATTAAATGGTTAAACAAGGAAAGCACTTTATTCTTTAATGTTCTGTCTTATTAGTGTTAACTTCATCCGTTTTACAGCAATACGCAATCTATTCTACAGTCTCTTAATTATTGACAGACTTATTGTATGAAAGTAAAATTCATTAAACTAAATACAAAATTCCTATACTATTTCGCAAATAACCACAATTTTGCATTATTAACGACAGAAGATTGATGAATGATTACGCGTGATACGATAAATGAGTTGTGATGGCGATATCTGTTATATACTTGTACGTTAGGTGAAACTGAACAAAAAAAGTATTTCACCATTTTGTAAACAATCACCTAAATTTTTAGTTAATAGTTAAAGATTGGTGTATTATTGTATATAATAAATCAATCTTCTAGTTATAATTAATAACTAAAAATCTATATGGTCATTTGCAAAATAATAGAGGACTTTTTTTGTTCAGTTTGATCTGATGTACAAAATACACCGACAGACTGTTATGGCTTATTTACTGTATCGTGCGTGACCATTCACTCATCTTCTTGAATTAATAACTTCAAATTTTACGTAAATTTTTGTGAAATGATAGAGGAATTTTGTGTCTAGTTTGATGAATTCTATCTGCACATAATGTGTGAGTTAATAATTGTCAGATGTTCTGTATACATATATCTATATTCTTACCATATAATAAATGGGATGAGTGAGATACTGGCAATTCATACTTCTATAGTCAAAGTTCTATATGTGTGTGTGTGTGTGTGTGTGTGCGCGCGTGTGTGCGTGTGTGTGTGTGTGTGTGGTTGCTGTGTGTACTGAATACGCGATAGTTTCTCGTACACAGGGTGCCCTATTTTAATTTGTGTAGCTGAATATACATATATACAGGATGTCCCGAAACTACAGCATGCTATTTTAATGGCAGATTCTTTAGAACATTTTAAAACGGAAACTTTCATATAAAAATGTCGAGGCTATAATAATTTTCAATTGGGAAACGATTCCACCAATAACAGAGCTGAGATTTTGCGCGCTCAGGCACGCCGAAATGACAAGTGATAAAGGTGCCACACACCAACGTATAGAACAGTGGACACCTTCATAGTAATAATTGATCGACACTTTGACAGATTAAGTTAAAATATGTCATTTTTATTTGAATCATATTTAAGACGTCTTACAACTATTATTTGTATAAAAAATATACTAATGCAATGCGTAGAGAAGCGGCAAAACATATTATGACAATGTTATTGTAAATTTATACAATGATTATAATA